ACATCCTCCCTTTCAGAGTGCACAGAAACACTCGGAAGAGAACCAGTATCATGCAATGTCTGGTGAATCCGCGTAAATACACTTCGACATGTAATCCTTCGATCGGGAAAACGCCTTTGGTATTCTTCAACAGCAGCACATGCATTGCCACCGCAAAATCCACACACAAAATGCATATCACAATATTCCATGTGTGAAAACACAAAAGGCATTTCAGCAACTCCGCACAATTAACCTACCACCCATTCACAACGCAGCGGCAACGTACCGTGAAGGTAGCGCACAAGCTTATGGCTAGTGAATCAGCACACTCAAGGACAAACAGATAATAGTGGTCAGCTGACAGGTACAGTGGGTGGACCCGCCAGAAAACCACACTTTTCTCAGGCCATTATCTCCATAACCGTTCAATTTTGGACATAGGTGTTTTGGGTTATATCGGCATACTATAACATAAGAAACACCCTCCTGAAGTCTGGCACATTCCTCCTGGGACACCCTGTATATATTGTGACGTATTTGCTCTATGCAGGACACCCCCTCCCCTGCCAGCGGTGATGTAACAGCTTCAAAGTGCTGCCGCTGCTACAGTAACTGGCCAGTCAACACTCCGCCCCCTCCCGCAGTGACATAATAGCACTTCCCACTGTGACATAACATGGTACACCGCTGTTGACACAGGCAACAGGGAATGGTATAAAAAGCCGGCTGAGCAGTATGTGAGTGGAGTGTGTGATCAGGAGTGACACAGTGTGGATCGTGAAGTGGCTGAAGTGAGTTGCAGTCTAGCATTTGCTGGAGTGAATGGATAATTAATTGTGATACTGCAGATGGCAGTACTTGTGAAATTGTAAATTGTGTAACTGTAAGAGCGAATGTGGAATAAATTTGCTACATTCAGTACGGCATAAAGTTATTTGTCATGTGACATATACCCAACACGTGACAGTATATATGTATATCTCAGATAATGTGCAGTGTCTAATGTAATATTTGTGTGATGGTGATGGTGATAATGATGATGCTGATAGTCTAACTTTCATGTGAGAAATTTTGTTCTCACTCTTCCTCTTCTAAAATGTTAGTTGAGGTCATAACATCACTCACCATATCACTCTTCCTCTTCCAAAATGTTAGTTGAGGTCACAACATCACTCACCATTTACATAGGTCGTACTGAAAGTCATGAGCAACAATTTTTTGTAAAGTAACATGCTTTACTATTGACAAACCAAATACACCTAACAGATGATGGACGGTGTACTAGTGAAATTAAATCCAAGATTGCCATGGCAAAAGCTGCATTTAGCAAGAAGAAGAATCTTTTTACCAGCGAATTGGACTTAAATTTGAGGAAGAAACTAGTGAAATGCTACATTTGGAGCATAGCTCTGTATGGGGCTGAAACATGGACACTTAGGGCAGTAGATCAGAAACATCTGGAAAGTTTCGAAATGTGCTGTTGGAGAAGGATGGAGAAGATCAGTTGGACCGATTATGTGAGAAATGAAGAAGTGTTAATTAGAGTCAGTGAGCAGAGGAATATCCTACATGAAATAAGAAAACGGAAGGCTAATTGGATTGGTCATGTTTTATGCAGAAACTGCCTTCTAAAAGAAGTTATTGAAGGAAAGATAGAGGGGCGGATAGAAGTGACAAGAAGANTGTGTGCATGGGTGCGAGCAGTGTTCGAAGATGGGTGAAACATTTTAACTATGGGAACACCAGCATCAAAGATGAGCCTCGGAGCTGTTGCCCTCGAACAGTCTCAACTGAATGCAACAAGGAAAGAGTGGATGAGATCATTCAAGATGACAGTCGTGTGACTGTGGACACGATAGCCCGAAAACTTGGAATAGGGCACAGTGCAGTATAGGAGATGATTGAAAGCTTGGGCTGTAGGAAAGTTTGTGCTCGTTGGGTCCTGCAGTTATTGACCGAAGACCACAAAGGTCACATTGGAAGCAAGTGCAAAGGTGGGGTGGGAAATTCTTCCATGCCCCTCCTATAGCCCTGATCTGGCACCCTCTGAGTACCATTTTTTCTGATTTGTGAAGGATCAGCTGCGTGGACAACGTTTTGAGACAAGGGAGACAATCAGGAAGCAGTGTGTCCATGTCTTCAGATGACTGGAACAGAATTTACAGAAGGGGAATTTTCAAACTCCCAGAACGATGGGAGAAATGTGTACAAAGAAGTGGCGATTATGTGGAAAAATAAAGAAAAGGTCTGTAGATTGAGGTGGTGTATTTGGTTTGTCAATAATAAAGCATGTTACTTTACAAAAAATTGTTGCTCATAACTTTCAGTATGACCCTTGTATACTGTTGTGTGTTGGGTATATATCACATGACAAATAACTTCACGCCTTCTTGAATATAGCGAATTTATTGAACACTCACTCAGAGAATTACACAATTCACAGTTACATCACTACTGCCATTTGCAGTATCACAAATACTTCTGTAGTCATTTCCATTCACTCGGTACAACTCGATAAGAATGAACTTCAGCCCACTCCAGCGAATGCGAGACTGCAACTGACAGGTTACTCTCTCTCTAGTAACTCTGGTTACACTGACGAACACTCCTCGTTATGTAGCTTCCGCACTGACAACACAGAAAACAGTTACGTTGCATAACGTGTTTACAGGCATTGCTCGAGATCACTGCTGAGAGTTGTTTATTGCTGCATAGTAAGTGCAGTGTCCCCTGTTACGTCACTGCGGGGAAGGGGGATGGAGTGTTGACTGGCCTGTTACCGTAGCAGCGGCAGTTACTCTGATGCTGTTATGTCACTGCTGGAAGGGGGGAGAGGTGTTTACTGAGCGTTGTGCCGTCCATGTCACAATATTGTAACTAAGTTCCATTTGGTTGGTTTTAGGGTTGGAATGATTATGTAGTATAATTAGGCTAACTGTTCAATCAGTAGAACATGTCTCCCCTCTAGGCTTTGACAGGCCTTGTTCTAGCTAGGCAGGAGGAATTGTTACCATTCCACACCACCATTGCACAAACATTTTTAACTTTGAAGAAAGCAGTCTTCTGGGATTTGGCACCATGTATATGTGGTGTTAACCGACGTTTCGGAGGAACGTATCGCCTCCATCTTCAGGGTAGAAGAAAAAATATAAGAAATCTGCAAGCGAAGAGACTGTGAGAACCGGTAAAAGCAGAGTGTGGAAATATACACAGCTATGTGAGAGCAGAGAGGGTAGGGGGGAAGGGCAAGTATACAAGTGAAAGCAGTAGTGTGGGAGGGGTAGGGGAAGGGAGCTGGGACAAGCATGAACAGAGAGGGGGGGTTTTGTCTCAGCAAGTCTTGGAAACCTCACATCTGTTCTCTTAAAAACCCCCCACCGGGATATGACGCCAGATCCAGAAGGCCACACAGGCCATGACCAACCAACATAACAACCCCCCTTCCCTCAGCTTACGGGTTAGTGCCCAGCCTTTAACCTTGCCTTTCTCTCCCCTACACAAAAACCATGCTTGTCCCAGCTCCCTTCACCTACCCCTCCCACACTACTGCTTTCACTTGTATACTTGCCCTTCCCCCCTACCCTCTCTGCTCTCACATAGCTGTGTATATTTCCACACAGTCTGCTTTTACCGGTTCTCACGGTCTCTTCGCTTGCAGAGTTCTTATATTTTTCCTTCTACCCTGAAGATGGAGGCGATACGTTCCTCTGAAATGTCGGTTAACACCACATATACACGGTGCCAAATCCCAGAAGACTGCTTTCTTCATAGTCACCGCCGTGAAAGCCTCAAATCTTACATTTTTAACTTTGTTATATTTTAGCATCCTGTTGCACCTATTCACGTTCATGATGTGTATTTGTACCAACCCTCTTACAGTGCACACAATTTCACCTTTCTCTTCACTACATGTTTCGGCACTAATGTGCCATCTTCAAGTGTGGTTTTATTTACGTCAAACCATTGCACTGTATGCCATCATGTATCCTTTATAAAATGATTAAAATGTATATATGTCATGTATAATAATAAAGTTTATGTATTAAAACTTTTCAAGATTTATTATCTATACGTCGCACTTCAAATTCGCGATTTATGTCAATCATCGTTTATCATTTAATGTCGCACTTCAAATTCGCGATTTACATCAATCCTCAATACAACACTCACAGTCACAAGGGAAGGACACAATATACACAAGACTATAGGAAGAGTACTCCCATAGGAGAGGATTGACGTAAATCACGAATTTGAAGTGCGACGTATAGATGATAAATCTTGAAAAGTTTTAATATATAAACTTTATTATTATACATGACATATATACATTTTAATCATTTTATAAAGGAGACATGATGGTGAACAGTGCAATGGTTTGACGTAAATAAAACCACACCTAAAAATGGCACATTAGTGCGAAACATGTAGTGAAGAGAAAGGTGAAATTGTGTGCACTGTAGACGGTTGGTACAAATACACATAATTTTTAACTTTATTTAATAGTTATCACTACACATAATGCTACAAATTGAGAACCTTTGTTGGTCTTTGATAATTGCAATTTGTGTTACTTTTTTGCTATAAGGACTACTTGATATCGCGTCTGGTCACTTCCGATGTCAGAAACAGTCTCCCTTTGTGGTTTAGAGAACTGTGTACCATTCTAATCATAATGCACAACCACTACCGCTGGATTGCATCATGCATTCCTTCGAAACTGTTCCCAGCAACATGATATTATCGCAAACAAATCAGCCCCAAAAGTTTATTTTTAAAACTTTGTGAGGTGTTGCGTCATGTAAAGCAATTTATTACGTAGGATCTATCTTGACATGTACTTGATAGAGTACTGAGTAATTATGGTACAGTATAATTATAAAATATAATGAAATTAATATATATATATGTATACGACAAAGAAAGGGATGATCGATTACACTTTCATCAGGATACACTGCGTATCACTTGATTGTTGTAAGAGGATGGTATCCTCATTGAAGAATATTTTTCCATTTCAGCAAGGGAAACAACCTTCTGATTCATTGCTTAAGAAAACAACAAAGGAAGAAAAAATTAGGAAGAAGGATGATAAAAGTGTTGAACAGGTTTTGAAGGCTTTGAATAGTCTTGAAACAACAGAAGAGAAACTGGCTGCAATGTGCAAGAAATACACGGACATAGTAGATGAAAATCGTAAACTTCAGGTAATATTTGATGTTATTGTTTGAATTCTTATGTAATCAGGATTATGTCTGAAATTGCCTCATAATAAATAATAAGTTGATATCTTAATGAAGAATGTTCAATAAAGAACATGAACTCATATCAGACAGGTGTTACTTGAAGTGATAGCACAGGTGTTTTTCAGTACAAGTCATATATATTGTCATGTGGTAGAGTGTGACTATAGATGGTGTTTGGATTGGTAATTTGATTTATTAACCACATACAGATTGTAACTACAAGTAACTATAGCGCTATCACTGATTCACTCACCCGGCACTGCTTTGGTTAGCAGAAGCTTACTGCTGGCAATGAGTCGGCACAGTCCTCCATCTTGGTGGTGCTGCTGCCGTCATCAGAGTCACTGTTTCTCTTTCGACGTCTGCTGTGGGGCGCATCCTCTGTGCCTTTAGTTGATTCCGGCAGGACACTGAATCAACTCCTGTATATTGCTTGTTGGAGTCGCTATTGTTGGGAATCTTATTAAATGACTGCAGCATGGACCACACAGAAAACAGCCTCTCTGTTGTTGTAGTTTGTTTACTGAGCTGTTTCATAGCAATGGCTGTGCTGTGGACCCCATAGGAGACCAGTCACATAATAGCTATCTTGCCAGTCCATTGGTACGCTGACTGTTGCATAGCAATAAGCTATGAATATCTGTCCTATTGTTGCGAGCACATATTGTGGGGTGTCTATCGAACCATTGCCTGGCAATGCATTGATAAGTTACAATATGTAATGCATGAACATTTAATGAAAAAATTGTTACTATTCAGCTTTCAGCACATTTAATCTCCAAAACTATGTAATGGATTTTGTTGAAATTGGTATTGATAAGTTGTAGGACAACTTTACTGGGCTTGTTCAAATTAAATTCATTCAGGGATTCTAGAGGTCGTTCATATTGTCCCCATTTGCAATGAGGCAGGCATCTCATTGCCTGTTTGCAAAGAATTTTCTGAGCTGCTGCTGGAACCACTGCACCATTGCTGTTGTGAAACAAGACCTCGAGGCATATTCTTGCGGCATCACTTTATTACTCTTCCACATAACTACATTCAACGCAACTATAACACAAATGTTGAACAAGTAATTTCACAATTGTACCTTTTGTGTTAACAACTCTCACTAGACTCTAGAACTGTAAACCCCCCCTGCTACCCAACCACTGGCTTCTGTCAGCACACTAACCCTGTCAGCTGCCACAACCAATATCTAATATCTATTGGCCAAGTGCGAAACATCGCCTCCAGCAGCTCCTGTGCTGTTACGTCACAGTGTAGAAGTGTTTAGTGGCCTGTTGCCTAGCAGCAGCAGCAGCAGCAGCTCCTCTGCTGTTATGTCACAGTGGGGAAGTGTTTACTGGCTCAGCAAGTAACACACAACAACTAGTAAAGCAAACACATATGCAGTCATGGATCCTAAGTCAAGGAATTAAAGGGGAAAGAAGTCTCAGTTCCCAACAATCGCTGCCCTGACACAAGTAACACGCAACAACTAGTAAAGCAAACATATGTGGTGCAATGCAAAAGTTCCTGAAATATATTAATAAAAACTATTACATCTTACCTAGATCTTATTCTGCACCATCACCTTCAAAGTAGTCCCCTTGGGAGCGCATACACCGATCCCAGCATTTCTGCCACTTTTCAAATGCATCCTGGAATTCTTTCTTTGTTAGGGTGTTTAATACCGTCTGCATTTCCACTTGAATTTCCTCAACTGTATCAAATCTTTGCCCCTTCAACTTGATTTTCATCTTGGAGAAGAGAAAGAAGTCACATGGAGCTAAGTCTGGCGAGTACGGTGGGTGGGGAACAACTGCCATCTTGTTTTTTTAGCCAAAAATTCCTGCACAATGTAAGCCATATGCGGTTGTGCGTTGTCATGGTGGAGTACCGGTCGTTCGTGCGCCACTTCTCTGGACGTTTTCTCCTCATGTTCTCCCTCAAACGCCTTAGAATATCGTGATAGAACTCTTTATTGACTGTCTGACCAGGAGGGACGAACTCCTTACGAACAATCCTGTCAATATCAAAAAAACAGATCAACATGGACTTAATGTTGCTCTTGACTTGTCAAGCTTNAGATCCCTAACTTTTGTGACATTCTTTGGTTTGGTACCAGTTGACGGCCGTCCCGCAAGATCTTCATCATCAGTCAATGTTCGGCCATTTTTTGAAATGCTTACACCAGTCGTAAGTTTGTGTCTGGACTAAACTGTTGTCACCAAAAGCTTGCTTCAACATTTGGTGTGTTTCTGCAGCGGCTTTCCCAAGTGTGAAACAAACCTTTATACAGACACGCTGCTCTCTCAGATCAGCCATCGCAAAACCACAAACTCATGGAAACACAACAATGGAAATACGTTCACCAACAATAAACCCAACCACTGAACTCGACACTGCTTGCCACACTGATTCAAGAAGGGTGTGTGGGGAGACACCCAGCAGTATTTCGATGTACTCATAACCATTCGGGCGCAAAATTCAAATTTCGGTAACTTTTGGATTGCCTCACGTATATGCAGTCATGGATCATAAGTCAAGGAATTAAAGGGGAAAGAAGTCTCAATTCCCAACAATTGCTGCCCTGACATGTTCATCCGAACTGAATCTTTGCCCTTTTAACACATTCTTGATGGAGCCAAACACATGGAAGTCACGCAGTGACAGGTCTGGCCCTACCAGTACATAAAGTGCACTGTGTCCTGGAGAGTACAGGCATTATCATATAACATGACACATGCCCAAGATGCTTTTTTAGAATTGGAGTATGAAGGTCTTGGATAGTTCCATGGTGCTGTTGCTGTTAATGGTGATGTTACTCTATAGATGGATTCTGCTCCTAGAATGCCAGCATTTAACCATGTCTTCCTGCTTCTGTGTACTGTGATGTTCTTGTTCTGTTGCATAGCTTGTGGTCAAATGCTGGTGTGCAATGCACCTAGTTATGTGATAACCGGTGACTGGCCATAGTTGCTTTCAGTGCTGCAAACATGTTTCATTTATAAAAATCTCATAATATTGGTCTCTGTGGGTCCTGTATAACTGACAATTTATATGTAATTCAAATCCAATGTTACAGTTTCTTAAAATCACTTGGTACATCAGTTTGCATTACAAAAGAAATCACGGCTATGCTTGAGATGATATTGAATTAAAACTATTTTCAGTATAATAAAAAATTTTACAAACCAAAGTTGGGCATAGCCATGGGCTCACCATTATCAAGTACTATGGCAGAAATTTTTCTACAAGATCTAGAACAAAATAAAATAAAACATTTATTGAAAGGTGAAAAAAATCACATCTATACCTCGCATAGTCTGGTTTCGATCAGTCTGGATTCACTGTAGTCCAATTTGAAAATTTCAAAACAAACTAAATTTTAATTGAGAAAAATAAAAATAAATTCTAAAAAAATATTACACAGAATTATTTTTAATACATAAATGATCGTTCTTTTTTCCCTTTATACAGTCAAGTCTCTTTTTGTGCAGTTTTTTTATGTGTTTTTAAATACATGTGATACGATACATATTTCAATTTTTTCTGGTGTTCCCAGTTGTATATGTACATACCTATGCTCTGATCATTCTTTCTTGAGCTCTGACAGCTATCACTGGAGGAGGTGGGGAGAGCACTACTTTAACGGAATTTTGGAAGAGCTACAACATCAGAAACATTATTGATAACATAGGTGAAGCATGGCATGAATTAACAGTAAGCATATGAGGGTAGTATGGAAACATATCATACCACATTGTGCAAATGATTTCATTGGTTTTGAAAGTCATTTTGCTGAAGTCACTAATAACATAGTGGAAATTGGACAGCAACTTGGTTTCAGTGTGTTAGATTCCATTAACATAATTGAGTGCATCAAATCGAACAATAATGAACTAGGTAATGATACACTTATTAACATAGATGAACAACAGGCTCATGAGGAACAGGAGGAGAACTTAGACCACGACGACTGTGTTGAAGTTCCTGCACGAGAATTAACAGCTGAACAACTATCAAAAATTATTGGAATGGTTGAAACCTTGTCAGATCATATTATGGAAGTTGATCCCAATGTTGAACGTAGCCTTACAATTCGCTGAATGATAAAGAATGCAATTCGTTGTTACATACAAAGAAATGTATGAAGAGAAAAGGCCAAAGAAGAAAAATGTGCAAGCATCAATATTGCAATTTTTAGAGAATAAAAAATGAATTGCAAAAAACATGATTCTTTTTAAATTATTTCTAATAAAGACAATTAAATGATCATGTTTTATTTATCGAAAAACGGAGACCTTTTTTTGAACTAATTATCATTTTTATGTAAGTATTTAGTTTCTCGATTAGTCCGGTTTCAAACAGTCCAGGATATTGGCAGAACTGATTACCTGGACTATGCGAGGTATTGCTGTACTATAACAGATACGCAGATGGCATTTTCATAATATATAATCAAACAAAAATAACTCCCCAAAGCCTTCTCAAACAGTTCAGTGTGCAACCTAAAGACTTGCAATTTACAATAAATGAGGAAGTAAACAATGAAATAGCATGCTTAGATTTAAATCTAATTAACAGACAAGGACAAATAGAAATGGAAATATACAGAAAATCTACAATGACAGACACATAACAATAAATAATAAATCATGCCACCCCAAAGAACGAAAATTAGCAGCATATAAAAACTGGATACACAGACTTCTCGCATTACCCCCTATAGCAAACATAAAAAATAAAGAATTAAATACTATTATTTATATAGCACTAAATAACAGTTATAGGAAGGAAGACATCCTACATCTATACAACAAACTCAAACAACAGAAAAATAATCTGGAAAATTAAAGCCAAGAAAGAACAAAAATGGATCCCATTTGCCTATACAGGAAAGTATATATGGAAAATCAAAAAACTCTTCAAAAACACCAACATAAAGATAGCATTTGGAACAACTTCCACCATAG